ATTACTCACTCAGACCAAGGGGGACCACTACCTGCCAGCTGACTTACATATTAAAAATACTGAGACACAGGTGACCACAAATAGCATCACTGTAAAAAAAAAAAAAAAAAAAAAAAAGGCCAGGAAAAGCAATCCTTCAAGGTTCTGGACAGACAACATTCAGAGCTACTGATGCAACTCAGAAAACATTTCAAGCTGTTTACAAAGTTTAGTAGCAGCGACTGGAATAACAAATAAAAACACACAATGTTTTATAAAATTCTTAAATTATAAGGCTTTTAGTTCCTTGTCATTATAATGGACATATTGCAGCATTTCACATCACTAGAATAACAAATGCTGATTTTAAGGAGTTAAGAGATTAAGAAGATGGTGTTTAATTATACAAGCCACCATGAATCTGCAAACATGCTCAGTTTCATTAAGAAAAAAAAAAACCAAAACAACAACCTCTTACACAGCATGCTTCCTTCATGCTGTCAAATTATTTATTCCTTGGGCAAATGAATGAAATAAAAAATAGCATGAAATTTTTAATAATAGAAGCCAATGAACTCTAGGCCCCACAAAACTAGAAATAGCCATTTCTTTTGGGGGTTTAATGTTTGACCAATAAGGCAGTCTAACACTAATGACTTGCCAACAGTCTTTTAACTAAATGACAAACTCAAGAATGCTGAGATCTCCAGAAGACACTTTCTCACATCTTCTACAAAAGCACAAAAAAAATTTGTTTTCTCAACTAAAAAAAAAAAAAAAAAGATACAGCAATCCCACAGAAATTGCAGAGGTAAGATCGAAAAATCTCTGTGCAAGATCTTTACTCCTCAGAATTAATGAAAGCAAAACAGCCATCCTAGTGATAATCCCCTTTAGTGCTTCACAGTTTATGCAATAGTCAATTACTAAAGAGGATGAAAGACAGAACAATCTTTGCAAATAGGTCACTGTCTATATTTATAATGATTAAAACCAGCCTGCTACTAAAAGTAACTTTTAATAAGGAGAAAAAGAAACATTAAGACAGTGAATGTATTTTACTCTTAAATATATTCTACATCTCCTATGACAGAAGAAGAGGTAACACTCTTAAGAAACAAAGTTAGTTTACACAGGTTATGCATTAGTATTGCTGAAAGTAGATTTTCATTTTTGTCTGTAAGGATTTTATTCCAAAGTGTCATCCTCATAAAGATAACATCCAACCACTCCTGACACGATCTCTGCACTTATTCAACTCTTTGCTTGCCTGCATAGTCTCTCTCAAAACTTGTTAGTAGATTTTACCTGCAAACATTGCCCAAAGCTCCTTTTCAAGATCACTTTTAATGTCTCCCACTTTGGCTTCAACTTTTCTTTCCTGTCTAGGCATGTCTAGACATGCAATTTTTTCTTTTTTTCTTCAGAACAAACACACAGGGCTCTATTGCACACTGCTGAGATCTCCCGTCTGCTTCTTTCAAGTATTCCTATGCTACAGAATTCTTCTCTTTCAAAATTTCTTCTTTTTCCCCCATCCTTGACCTTTCTTAGGAGTATTTTCTGCCCTTCCTGTGGGATCAAGACATTACACCTGATGTTGTTCTCCCAAAATTTTATTAGATTTCATGGAGTCTCACAGCTTTGAGCACCATCACATCAGTGATTCTTAAACTGTGCGCTCCTGAACCATTTCATTCAATTCCACCTGCAGTCACCGTCTCCTCCAGAGATTTATACCTGATTAAATTGGAGCTTGTTTCCTATCAAGTCCTACTTCTTCTAATTACCTCCAGACCTCCTACAGTTCAAGCCCATAAACTAACATCTGACTATAGCAATACCTCATGCACAAGAGTTGCACCCAATAGTTGGAATTTCTTTGTATAAAATGTCAAGAATAATCATTATTCAGTCATGACCTTTCTCTTGATCAGATCATTTGTTGCATCTTCATTAGCAAATTCTTCTGCTCACAATGTCCCTTCTCTATCCTTCACTTCACTGTATATGAAATATAGTATTTTATATTATATGAAGCTGCTAAAAAAGTCCTTCCTCTTTGAAGTACTTTGGAGACCCTAGATCTCCCAGTATTTCCACAGCCAGCAAACCTGTGAGCTCAAAGATTCCACAGCTGTAGAACCTGCACTTCATTACTGGGAAGGAGAAGAAGGATAATCTTCAGAAAATAATGTAACCACCTCTTAGAAGAATCTCATAACAGAGGCATTCCTCTGCATCTCATACATTTGTATTCAGGATACTGAAAACACACTGAAAGTTAGGCTAGGGCTGAACTACCAACTCACACCGCTCCCTGCAAAAAAAAATAAATTAAAAAATCACCTACACATAGATATTATTAAGGTAATTCCAGTTTCTAATCTTAAAAACTTAAAAGAAAGCACCTGTAGCTTAGAGTTTATTATAATGCAGACTGCATAAAACTGAACTGCACAGCAGGCAGGGGAGGGAGAGGCACAGTGGGTCTTGTGAAGTAAAATCCTGTTTGTGCGTGAAAGCCGGGAACTTGATGTTCTCACTACAGACTAAGAGCAATAAAAACAGCTTTCTGAGCCATTAATTTCTGCACAGCTGATTTCTACTAAACAATGCTCATTATTGAAAGAATTCTAAAAAAACTGTGAGGCTGTTCCAGTGTGAAGGCCAGCGCTCTGAATATCTAGACTGAGCTAACAGTGGCATCAGTGCTACTACTGCTGTAACCCCTATGGCTATGAAACGTCAAACATTTTCATTGTACTTAAAGACCTTGTGATTGAGCACAATGAGATTAAGTTACTTCATGGATTTAAAATAAGACAACTGCAAGGCACAGTGAGCATCCGCATTCTTGTCGCTCAAGACAGTGTCAACAGCCAGTTCTTTGTAACACCACTGTGGCACTTTTCCACCGCCAAAATGCAGCGTTTTTAGGATTTTTTTTTTTAGTACTGCAAAAACTCCCATCTTCAAGCCAAACTCCCATCTTCAAGCTTTTCATAACCCAGTACAGCCTACAAATATGTGCCTAGCTGCCCCACTCAAATCCAAATTTACAAATACACTGTAGCACCAAGTCCAGTATATTCGGGGAGGGGGTAGGAGGGGGAGAAAGGTGAAAAGATGAAGTGTTGCTGCATCTGCAGTCACAAAGCCGGTGGAAACTGAGCAGCAGGCCACACGTTTCGTAGTATTTGACAAAGGACACCCATGCAGCCCATACAACTTCATCGACTTTAGAGAAGGAGATGCATCAAACCATAGTCCACACGGTGTGGCAAACTATCTGAAATAGTATATACTTTCTAAACATTCCACAGTATTCTCACAACTAGTTCGGCAATTGATGACTATGGCAGTAGATGGGCTACTGCACAGGCTTCTAAAATAAATATCTAATAATTATCTTATCCTTCCAAGTGGCTCACTACAGTGAGCTAGGATACGCTGTAAGGAAACCACAAGAAAACTGATCGATCTTCATGTTGCGTAAGGGAGAAATCACTAAAAAAAATATTAAGTTAGAGAATTCTATTTATTCCTTATTATTTATTTGCAGGGGGTAAAAGTTAAAGTAAAATTGTCATAGAAGACAAATATTAGAGGCATGAAGTCCATAACTAGAGGAACTCTGAATTTCGAGAATGAGGTCAAGAGTAGGATTTTGAAAAACTACTGCTTCTGAGTATTTCATAACATATACATGTACTCATATATATATTAATATATATAATATTAATATATATGAGCTCATACAATTCAAGACTACAGAAATCACCCAATGTTGTATCTTTAAGGTCTTCCCACACTGACCCACTAACTAAGCAGCTTTGTCTTAGTTGTGTCTTATTAGCAAATTACTGATTCACTGCTCTTCACGATAAGATTTTTATTTCTGAAGTTAGCACCAACTTTTGTTTGAATACCATACTTGAGTGAGCTCCTTCCGTACTTTGAATACATGCTGGCAAACAGAATATACTATAACGATCAGTTTGAACCCAAGTAAGAACAGTTTTGTATTACAGAACAAGAAAGTTCAATACTAAGGAGCATTTAGCCTTAGAATATTAAAATAATTTACATCTCCCTACAGAAAGATGCAGAGGGTGTGAGAGGGGAGAAAGTGAGGTGGCGGAGTTATCTGTACACACACATAGATAGTTACGTGCACATACATACACATCACCGGTTCAAGAACAAACCTGGATTACGACAGACTAATTAACTTGGTTACCCATACCAGAAGTGACCCGATTATCTAAGAGTGCTAATCTTTTGTTGGGGGTGGGAGAGGCCTATTACAAAAAAAGGAAAAAAAAAAAAAGTGAGAAAAATCCCTTTACTAAGGAAAAAGGCCATCAGTGCTCTAGTTTTAGCCTGAAGTGGGAGTACATCATTCCTGAGATTCTTCCATACTAATTAACAAATTCACAGGCTTTGAGTTTTAATCCTGAGTAAAGTTGTGAGAAGCAGAATTGGTAAGGCTGGCTCATTACAATAAGAATCTACAAATAAAATAATCAAGTCAGAAAATAAACTTCATATAAATACTATTTTAAGACTACTAAACCCACTAATACATTAATTCACAGCTGTTACACTACCTATACACATACTTGGGAAAAGCTGACAGCACTATTATTTCAAAAAGCTAAGAATTGTAGAGTTACTGCGGTAGGCTCTGGAAGAAAAATATGACCCAAATTCAGTGTCATCTCAGAATGATCTTGATAAAGAACAGAAATGTTTCTGCAACATTCAAAAAATGTGATAATGTAAATGGAATTAATTTCTCTGCAAAAATACTTTGCTTTGGAGAAGAGCTATACACATCAGCTGTTTAGAGTTCAATAATCAGTTCATGCTGACATTAAGACATTTTTACTGAAACAATGTGAATTCATCAGGCATAATCTAAAAACAGTAGCAAGCAATTATGGCAATAAGGAAACAAAACAAAAAAAACCACCCCCACTAATCTACAAGGGATATCTTTTTTTTTTTAAGCTTACCTGCACTTGCTCTGTGGAGCTACTACTGAGTTCATCTCCAGACTCTGAATCTTGGTGAATTTTTTCTGACCCTAAAATCACAAGATTGTTCATGCAAAAAGCTGGTCTTCTCTATTTCCAAGAACTCCGGGCATGGGAAATGACCCATGGAGACGGTTCTATACTGACTGGAAACCTTGGGAGATTGCAACTCATTGTTAAGTTTTCCATTGTTTTGGGTAAGGTCCAGATTCAAGCCAAGAGTTTGACCAGGGCTATTGTTGGGTCCCAGATTTTGATTGGCATCTCGAACTAAGCAAGACACTTGAACTGGAGAAGATTTTCCAAAACTAGAAAGCTCTGGTGATTTATTCACATTTTCTGTTGATCTCTGTAATCCATGTGTTAACTTCAAAGCGCTATTTGGCAGCACACTTGCCTGCTTAACGGGCGGCATCAGCGCTTTTCGTGGTATTTCCTTCACATACTGTGCTGGCACGTAAAAAGGTTTGGAATTTTCATCTCTCTTGACTTGCCACCAATCATCGTTAGTCTTTTTCACCAAGATGTATTTCTCCCCTTGCTTAATCACAATTTTCTTGTCCTTGGCCTCATACTCATAGTCATACTCCACTTCAATGTACAATTGTCCTGGAAGGATCTTCCCACCTTTATCAGCCATTTCTATTTGAAAATATTTCACCTTTTCAGGCAAAACGTAAGCCACATTCTGTTTGAGAAGTGTTATTTTCCTGTTAACAACCAGATCTGTAAGGAAAAAAAACCATATATATGCAGTAAACTAGTTGTTTAAGAGCACTTCAGAAGAAAATAATTTCAAAAATAAAGGTGCGTATTCAATTTATGTCAACCACAGCCTAATTAATTGAGGGAAAAATTAAAGATTTTCAGACATCTTTTACAGTGGTAAAAACTGAAAATAGAACAACTTAGTCACCAAATTAACTCCCCTATTCACACAAGCCTCCTGCTATCAAGTGGCTCATTAAGCCTGCTCTTTCTACTACTAAATAATGTTGATTGATCATAGAAGGGGGCTTGGTGGGGGCACTAGTCTGAGTCAGTCTCTTGCCTACACACAGGCTTAATTTCTTCATGGAGCTGTGTCACTAGGCTAGTTTTAACCAAAAGATTCAGAAGAAGACTATTATCTGTTTGTTTTGATTCCTCTTTCAGTTCAGGAGCCCTTTCAGAGTGCTCAAGATTCCTTTACCAAATTCCTTCGATCTTCACCCAGTGCTACAGCCTAGGCATCAGGGCAGGCAGGGGCTGACAATCCTTGGCCCAGAGGTGCCGTGGGTCCCGCGGAGCCTCCTGACCCTCACTGCTCCCCTGCAGGGGAGCTGCGCGACCCACTCACGCTGCCCCAGCCTGCAGCTCACGTTGCTTCCACCTCACGCTGCCGTCTACACAGCAGGTGGTATAATCACTTGTTTTCGTTATCTCTTTCAACTGCTAGTATAACTGCAACACAGAATTTAATCTAGAACTATGGTAGTATTAAATAAAAGTACTCAACATGTCCAAGATATTTTGGTTTCAGTGGTATAAATTCTGCCTCTTTACTTTGCTCTGAAGAGAGCTCTTTGTGGTATTTCCCTCACAGAAACCCTCACCTAACCAGTTTAAGGGCTAAAACAGAAAACATAAAAAAAACACCCAACAAGGATGAAACGAGACTACAAACCAAAACCAAAAGTGGATAATGAATGAAATACATCAAAGTTTTGCAAAGGACTTTTGGCATTTTATAATGCAGACAACCACCACTGTATCCACACCCATCTCTGTGGAAGTGGGTCCAGAGGAGGGTACAAAGATGATCCGGGGCTGGAGCATATCTCCTGTGAGGACAGGCTGGGAGAGCTGGGGTTGCTCAGCCTGGAGAAGAGAAGGCTCTGGGCAGACCTTATAGCAGCCTGCCAGCACCTGAAGGGGCTACAGGTAAGATCTAGAAGGACTTTTTACAAGGGTGTGTGGTGACAGGACAAGGGGCAACGGCTTTAAACTGGAGCAGGGAAGATTTGGATCAGACATTGGGAAAAAGTTCTTCACTGTGAGGGAGGTGAGACGCTGGAACAGGTTGCCCAGAGGGGCTGTGGGTGCCTCAGCCCTGAAGTGTTCAAGGCCAGGTTGGATGGGGCTTTGAACAACCTGGTCTAGTGGAAGGGTGGATGGAACTAGGTGACTTTGAGGTCCCTTCCAACTCAAATCGTTCTGTGATTCTCTGATTTAATCATGTAGCATCAATGTCACAATTCAAGAGAGGCGAGACTGATGCTTATTCAACTTAAACTGAACACAACACAGTAAATTAACATAAAAGATTATTTCTTAATCTTGAAAATCAAAGCATGTAAGTAAAGGGGAAGATTTCTAGCATTCAAATAGAATGTAGGAGAACTGAAGTAATATGCTGCCACATTTAATCTTGCAAAGATTAAGAAATAAATCTTTTTTTTCAATGCATGTTTCATGAATGAGAAAAAATATGCAGAAATTTGCAGCTCTGCAAGTTAAGACTTCGAGGTGACATTTTTAGCATTTACCCTGCCACAGAGTGGAACTAATGCAATTGCACAGAGGCACACACAAGCAGAGTGAACTCAGCTTACCCGAAATGGGACTAAGGACAGAAACAACAAGAAAAAGGGACTTCTGGGGAGAGCTGAAGCAGAAACTCCTAAGAATTCTGCCACCTTTTCTTTCACCATTTCTGCTGTTTGGTATGAGCCTTGGGGGGAGTGGGGGAATACCTACATGCATATATAACTCAGTAGAAAAAGAAACAGCTAAAATGCTCAAGTATGATGACAAAACATAAGTGTCCATCTTTAACCTGTGTCTTTATCTCTCCCACAGCCCATTATTCTTTTACTTTAAGAAAGCATTTCCTACAGGTAACTTGAAAGCTACCATCATTTACAAGACTCTAAATGGAATCACAACATCAGATTTACAATTTTATCCAGGACTTGATGGTACCACATTCAACAAAACTGAGAGCAGGAACACAAAGCCGTAGAGGAGAACGCTAGGATTCTGGTGTTTACTATCTCTACCATAAAATGGTACATTGAAACTCACAGCATTATAGGCTATTTACAGCCTCAGAACAAAACAACTTGCTTACCTGCTGTTCTACATAAAGAGGTATTTTTCAGTGCAGCTCTGCAGTTGTTTAGCAACTGCAGCAGAAGGTAAACATGAACAAATCACAGCCATTCCCATTCTCTTTCTAGTTTTGGGAGCTCTGCCATACAAATTTTATTTATTGCTTGTTATTAAACCTGACTCCTCCTAACACTTCTGCAAAGCTGCTACCAAGCCCTTTCATAGCTTCAAGGTCATACACCAGAAAAATGCAAGTATTTCCAAGTTCCAGTCTACCACTCAGATCTGCTGTCTTGGAAGCTGAAATGTAGAACCCATTTAGACATTTTTCCTTCTCCCATATAAAAATCAAAAAGAGAACATAAGCCCCACAGGGCTACCAAGTGTTTAAAAGTTTGGATTCTTCATTTGTCAACTCCAAGTAACTATCTATTGAAAATGCATGCTTAGTATTTCTTCGAGACAGGCAGGTTCAATAAGTTGCATTTGATGCTTAACAAAATCAAAATTTTGAGAAATAAAGTTAAATTAAATACAGCGCCTACAAAAATAGCTCTATCCATTTTGAATTCAGTTTTGCAGCCTCATCCCTTTCCCAAAAGAATAGAAACAACAAAAATAAGCGGCCCAATTTCTGTTCTTTCATCCAAGCTGCAAAATTATCAAGTCAATAGCAAACATTTGGTAATGTTGAACATAGGATCAAAAAGAGACAGGCTGTGTTCTCTGTTTGGCCAGAACACTAAAACAGTTTTATAAACAGATCACATCATCAGGATCAAGCAAGGCTCTAATTCTCTGCCTTAACAGAGAAATGCAAGAGATACCTACGGTACAGGTGGGAAGTCTTTCTCAGTAAGTTTAACAAATATCTACATTAACCCTGCAGGGCTGCAAACAGCTACCCTGGCCTTGATTTCACAGATCCAAAAGCATTAAGCTTTATTAGGTTTGAATCTTTTTAATGCAGCTGCTGTGCCACAGAAGGTAGGCAGCTGGTACCCTATGTGCAGCCCAGGGGACAGCGAATTGTAACATCCTTCCAAGGGTCCATGTATCTGTCTGATAGAACTTGGGTTAAAGGGCCAGGGAAGCCTTGCCCAAACCTCTGCTCTGAGTGGCTTAGAGCAATTCAGATCTGAAAGTACAATATTGACAGTGGGAGTACTGACTTCACTGTGCTACTAGCCAACAACTGAAGCGAAACAGCACATCAGATCTTTTAAACTCACTGTACTTTTTTTTTTTTTTTACCATTACCTGTAATGCTGGATGGCACCCACTGTGGTAAAGAAGGTTGAAGAACCCAAATTAGAGGACAATAAGCATGAAAAGTTATTTACTTTCACAGAGGACATCTGTAACCTTTAATAACTTAGTCTTGATATCTGATCAAGAGATCACAGAATCATAGAACGTTAGGGGTTGGAAGGGACCTCTAGAGATCATCTAGTCCAGCCCCCCTGCCAGAGCAGGATCACCTAGGGCAGTCACACAGAAACGCGTCCAGGCAGGTTTTCAAACTCTCCAGAGAAGGAGACTCCACAGCCTCCCTGGGCAGCCTGTGCCAGTGCCCTGTCACCCTCACAGTAAAGAAGTTTCTCCTCATGTTGAGGTGGAACTTCCTATGTTCTAACTTAAACCCATTATTTCTTGTTCTATTACTGGGCACCACTGAGAAGAGACTGTCTCCTTCCCCTTGACACCCACCCCTCAGATATTTATATACATTAATAAAGGTCCCCCCTCAGCCATCTCCTTTCAAGGCTAAACATCCCCAGTTCTCTCAGTCTGTCTTCACAGGAGAGATGTTCTAGTCCCTTAATCATCCTCGTAGCTCTCTGCTGGACTCTCTCAAGTAGGTCCCTGTATCTCTTGAATTGGCGAGCCCAAAACTGAACATAGTATTCCAGGTGTGGTCTCCCCAGGGCAGAGTAGAGGGGGAGGAGAACAACAAACGGTACCACTGACAACGAAGACCTAAGAAAACTTATTTATGAAGACCAAAAAAACCTAGGCTCAGGTAAAGAAAAAAATGACCGCTACAGGATAATTAGTGTGAAGTGGGCCACATCCCCATGTGGAAGCATATTCTGCTGTGTTACAGAGCATCCACATTTGTCCTAAGGTAGAGAACACCCATGATGTCACCCACAGCCTTGGGCGCAGCAGTCCCACGCCCTGCCGGACCCAGGCACCCAGCGGCTCCTCCACCTGGTACCCACACACGAGCCTTTTCGGCTTCTGTTCCCGATGGGAACCATTCCCACCTCTTACTCAGCAAAGGCAGCGTCAGGCTGGCAACCCTGGGTGCTTGCAGAGGTCAGCTCCTCCCTTCACTCCCTGCCACGCCCTTAAAATCCAGCTAGATTTTATGTATGTCCACACAAAACAAGACCTTTTCAAACAAGACCCCCACCAGGACAGCTTCATCCACAATTAAGAGGGTGGGGTTTGGAGAGCTTTAGGTTTGGTCAGAGGTTAGACTTTCCCAGGTCAACTGAACCCCTACAGCAACACTGTCACCCCCTTACAGCACTCCACTCACTGCAGAGTGATGCTCAGTACACTGATCCTGAGGCACATGGTCTTGAAAGAAGCATGGTCCTAACACACACACAGAAACATAAGCA